AAAAAAACAAAAAAAAAAAAACAAAGAAAAAATACTAAGGACTGACCTGACAGGGTGCCTGCTGTGTCATATGCCTGGAAGCCGGCCCTGCCTGGGAGAGGTGGGGGTCAGCAAAGGCGACAGGACCATGGGGCAGTCCTGGCAGGATGCTCACCTGAGTTTGGAGGTGTTCGGGGGAGCACCTGCTATGTGTCTGGCCCAGGGGCCTGAGAGATGACCCAGGCCCTCCTGGTTCTAGCCTGAGGAGCCCTGGGGGTGGGGAGCTGGTCCCTGCCTCAGGGACTCTCAGACACTGGGAGGCAAGTATATGGAGTGAAGGCCTGGGGGACTTCCTGGAGGCAGTGGTCCCAGGCGGGGATCTGAAGGAGGAGTCAGCAGGGGCAGAAGAGGGGCAGTGATCTGGCACAGGGGCCTCCTCATGGAGACCTTGAGGCAGGAGGGGGCTGGAGGAATGAGGGGGAACCTCCCCACAAGGCACTGAGAGAGGGCACAGAGGTGGCCCGGATGCAGGAGCTGGTTTCATCCAAGAGCCCTGGAGAGACACAGGAGGGCTGTGGCTGAGCTGGTGGGGTTGGATTTAAGTTGTATTTACCTATTTATTCTCTTGAGACAGGGTCTTGCCCTGCTGTCCAGGTGGAGTGCAGTGGTGTGATCATGGCTCACTGCAGCCTCGACCTCCTGGGCTTAAGCAAACCTCCCACCACAGCCTCCCAAGTAGCTGGGACCACAGATGTGTGCCATCACGCCTGGCCTAATTTTTAAATGTTTTTGTAGAGATGGGGTCTCACTACGGCACCCACACTGGTCTCAAACACTAGGCTTACCAGGTGTGATGGCTCACGCCTATAATCCCAGCACTTTGGGGGGCTGAGGCGGGCGGATCACTTGAGGTCAGGAGTTTCAGACCAGCCTGGCCAACATGGTGAAACCCCGACTCTACTAATAATACAAAAAAAAATTTTAGCCAGGCGTGGTGGCGCATGCCTGTAGTCCCGGCTACTCAAGAGGGTGAGGCAGGAGAATCGCTTGAGCCCAGGAGGCGGAGGTTGCAGTGAGTTGAGATCATGCCCCTGCACTCCAGCCTGGGGACAGAGCAAGACTGTTCTCAAAAACGAACAAACAAAATGAACCATTGGCTCAAGTGATCCTGCCACTTTTGCCTCCCAAAGTGAGCTGCTGTGCCCGCTGGATTTTTTTTTTTGGACAGGGTCTCCTCTGTGACCTAGACTGGAGTGTAGTGGTGTGATCTCTGCTCCCTGCAGCCTCCGTCTCCCAGGTTCAAGCAATTCTCCTGCCTCAGCCTCCCGAGTGCCTGGGGCTACAGGCAGGCACCACCACGCCTATGCAATTTTTTGTATCTTTAGAAGAGATGGGGTTTCAGCATGTTGGCCAGGCTGGTCTTGAACTGCTGACCTCAAGTGATCCGCCTGCCTCGACCTCCCAAAGTGCTGGGATGACAGGCGTGAGCCTCCGTGCCAGGCCTGGATGTGGGTTTTAAAAGCAGCTTTGGGAGGGTGCTGAGTCAGTGGTGGGGACAGAGGGGAGGTGAGGCCAGGCTGGGCTGGCAGGGCCAGGGAGGGGCCCCTGTCGGGGGGCTGCACGCACGATCTGGGGGTCGCTGGCCACGCCGCTGCTGTAGGTGGTGGTGAGGGTGGAGGCGCAGGCTTCGCTGTACCAGGGCACGCGGCCCTGCCGGGTGGCGCTGCCCACGGAGAGCGTGTAAATGCTGTTGGTGTAACCGTCACAGTTACAGTTGTCGTAATGGAGGCCGCCGTTGCCCGAGGCCCAGATGAAGAGCGTGCCCAGCCCGCCGCGGCCCTGGGAAACCAGGAGGGGTGGTGAGTGGGCATTGCCCGGGCCCGCCATCCCCGCGCTTCTTGGGGCGCCCCCACTCACCTTGGTCACGCCTTGCCGGAAAGCCTCGCGGGTGAGGATGCCGGGGCCGTCCACCGTGCGGCCGTCGTCCTCGGGGCCCCAGCTGGCGCTGTAGATGTGGATGTACTGGGGCCGCAGACTCAGCGACTGGGCCTCAATGGCGTCGGTGACGGGCCCGTCCAGCATCCGCACGCCTGCAGGGGGACGGGGGGCAGGGGGCCTCTGCCACCAGCCCTGCCCTTCCCTGCACCCCAGCCTGCCCCAGGTCTCCACACCACTCCCCAGCCCCACTCAGGCCCTCTCTCTGCTCCCTGGAGGGGCCGTTCATACTGGTTCAGGTCCCCCAAGCCCTGGAGTCTGGTCCCAGCACCACCCAGCAGTGAGAGGGTGGGCGCCGGAGTCCTGCTCCCCTGGTCGGTGGACCCAGCTCCCCCCAGCATCACCTCCTTCGCCTTCTGTCCCCAAATGGTGCCTCCGGGGGACCCTGGGTACCTCCGATTCGGGCGTTGAAGGCGACCCCCACACCGCAGAAGCCATTGTTGGCCATTGCAGCCACCTCCCCAGCACAGCGGGTCCCGTGCCTGGTGCCAGGGTCAAGAGGGGCTTCCGTCACGGCCTCCATCCTCCCGCTGGGCACTGGCGCTGGCCCCGTGCGCTGTGGGAGCCCTGCTCACCTGTTCTCATCGCTGGGGGTGTAGCGGGGCTGGGGATCCGGGTCGTAGTTATTAAAGTCATAGCTAGCCAGGGGGTCCTGGGGGTGGGTGGGGATATGAGGGGGTGAGGGGGCTTTGAGGTGTCCCTGGGGTGGAACCGGTCTCGGCACCCGGGGCAGCCCTCACCCCCAGCCACCCACGGTCTCACGTAGTTGGTCCAGAGGTCCGGGTGGTCCTTCTCAATGCCATCGTCCAGCACAGAGACCACGACACCCCGGCCCGACAGCCCCTGGCCCCAGGCCTGCAGGACGTTCAGGTCTGGCTGTGCCTCACTGTTCTGCAGGGAAGGCGGGGTCATGACCCTGTGAGGACCTGGGGGGGAGGGGGCGCCAGCAGCCCCATCCCCGCCCACCTGTCCTGGCTGCCCGCTCACCATGTACCACTGCTTGGAGAACCAGGGGTCCGTGGGCACCACCACAGAGCGTCTCACCCTGCGCTGCAGTGTCTGCTGCTGGGACCACTGCACCTGCAAGGCGGGGGGCGCGTCGGGCCTGTCCCCTGCTCCCCCATGGGGCCTCTCGTGCTTCAGGGAGGGAGGCAGCCCCGTGCCCTGGGACCCTGTGTTTGTAGGGGCTGTTATCCTGCTCCACCCGGCAGGGCCGTATGCCCTGGTACAGCGAAGCCTGCGCCTCCACCCTCACCACCACCGACAGCAGCAGCGTGGCCAGCGACTCCCAGATCGTGCATGCAGCCCCCCGACAGGGGCCCCTCCCCAGGCCCTGCCAGCCCAGCCTGGCCTCAGACTGTCCCCACCACTGACTCAGCACCCTCCCAAAGCTGCTTTTAAAACCGAAATCCAGGCTGGGCACAGTGGCTCATGCCTGTAATCCCAGCGTGCTGGGAGGTAGAGGCAGGCAGATCACTTTCGGTCAGCAGGGTCACCATGTGCCTGGGGCTCTGTCTGCAGTCAGAGGGGCTGAGGCTCTCAAACCACCTGTCCTTGAACCCACAGACACATCGCCGCTGCCCAGGGTGACTTGAGGTCCCCAGGTCCCTATCCCACTCCTTCCCCCATCCCAGTTCTAGATCCTTCTGTCTTTCTCCTGCATCACTTCCTTTTGTTTTTTGTTTTTTGTTTTTTTGAGACAGAGTCTCACTCTATCCCCCAGGCTGGAGTGCAGTGGTGTGATCCCAGTTCACCGCAACCTCCACCTCCCAGGTTCAAGCGATTCTCCTGCTTCAGCCTCGTGAGTAGCTGGGACTACAGGCACTCACCACCATGCCCGATAATTTTTGTATTTTTAGTAGAGATGGGGTTTTGCCATGTTGGTCAGGTTGGTCTCGAACTCCTGACCTCAAGTGATCTGCCCGCCTCGGCCTCCCAAAGTGCTGGGATTACAGGCGTGAGTCACCGCGCCCAGCCTGGCTTTTCTCTTGGAAACCACATCGGAGCCACTGCTCTCCCTCCCTATGCTATAAGCAGGCAGCTGTCAAAGTCCTGCTCATGGCACTTCCTGGCCTCCAAAGGCTTCCCAGGCCCCATCTCATCCCGTCAGCTTGGCATCTCTGGTATATTCTAGGCGGGGTCCAGCCCGATCAGACCCAGGCCCCTTTCTGACACTGTGTCCTGAGGGCACTGGGTAACTTCAAGCCTCCTACTCTTTGGAACCCATTTGTCGTAAAATGAGCCAACCCCCTTCCCTCCATCCTCTGATCTAGATGGTGGGGAAGGCATGCCATCTGTCCCTCCTTACCAGAGACCCTGGGGCCCAGAGGAGGTGGGGGAGGGCAAGAGGTGCCCACTGTGTACCAGGCCCTGGTAGGCATCATGATTTCTGTGTTTGGGTCTCCCTGGTCTTCCCTGCCACATAGACTTGGGGTCAGGGTGGGTCCGAGCCACAGAAAGCACACTGCCGTTCATAGCAGCCACGAGAATCACAGAAGGTGGCTAGGGCCCCAGGATGCAGTTGAGACCCGAGGGGGTGGCCTCCAGGCCAGGCTCACCTTGGGGTCTTTCTTCAGGCGCAGGTGGTGGCCCCAGTGGGGGGTCAGGGACTGCTGGACCACGCCCCGGTGCCGCAGGTGAAAGTACTGCCCATCAGGGAAGATCTGGGGATGCGGGGAAGCGGCCGCACTCGGACCCGGCTCCGCTGCTGGAGCCCCCGAGGGCGGGGAAACAGCCCCCTACCTTGTCCTTCCCCACCAAGTGCCCTCAGAAACTGAGCTTGGCTGATGCAGGGGTGGGCTGGGGCTCTTGATATTTAGGAGACCTTGGGGGCTCCCTCCCACTCATCGGGGTCTGGGGTCGTCCAGTCCCCTCAAGCCCCCCACTTCCTGTCCATCCCGGTCCCACCCACCGGCCCCAGGTTGACGAAGCCGAATTTGCGTGCCAGGCGCTCGGCCTCCCGGTTCCCCTGGGACACCCGCACGGCCCAGCTGCTGACATAGATGGGGGCCCGGGGCGAGGCCCACCCCACAGCCAGGGGGCCTACGAGGGCCAGGGCCAGGGCCAGGCGCAGCCACAGCGCAATAGGGGCGGGCCTCATGAAGGCGGGGCGGGGCGGGGGGCGGGACCTGCGCAAGCCCCTCCCCCGCCAAACCGCCGAGGGGGCCCAGGCGCCCGCCCCGCCCCCGGCGCCATGGCAACGCGGAAGGCTTCGACTCCCAGGGGGCCTTGAGGCTACCCCAGCCGAGAGGCGCGAAGATCTGACAGAAGCGGGGAGAGAGGCACGCCTGCCGGTCTTCTGCAGACCCACATCCTCGGGAGCCTCAGTTCCCCCATTTGTACAACGACAAGAATCTAAACCAGAGAAGGGGACTCACTGTCGTGGTAACGCGTCCCGCACTTTCTTTGGCCTCGCCCCCTTTCCCACACACCCCCTCCTTAAAGAATCAGCCCAGCCTCCTACCCGGCCCAATCAGAATCGCTCTATCAAGTAATCCCGCCTACTCCAATAAGCCCCGCCCAATTCCTCCCCGCCTCCTTTATGAATCATACCCGCCCCTTCTCTGGTCTCACCAATGAATCGCGTTCCGTTTCCCCAATCGGCTCGGATTTTTCTCCAGCCCCGCCCAAAGGCTCCACCCCCCAACCGCGTGCCGCTCCTCCCCTAGCTCCACCCCCTCAGCGTCTCAGCCAATAATCCCGTCCCCTGACACCGCCCCTCCAATCAGCTACGTCTCGCTCCCGCCCGGCCAATCGGTGCCCTGGGCTGGCGCGCCCCGCCCTCTCCCGGCGGGGTCTGGGCAGCGGCGGCCGCAGCCCCCCAGAGGGCGATGCGGCGGGGGAGACGGGGCAGGCCCCACCTCCTTTGTCCGCCCTGCCCTCCCATTGGTCCGGGCGGGGGGCCGGGGGCGGACACCGGCGCGGGGCCCGGACCGCGCGGCTCCCGCTGCGGGAAAGCTGCGCGCGTGCAGCGGGGCGTGCGCGCGGGGCCGCGGGCGAGCTCGAGCAGCCAACCCCGGGCGCGTCGGGGCCATGGACGGGCTGAGCCAGCGCGTGGACCGCTTCCTGGAGCAGAGGAACCTGGTCACCGACGCGCTGGGGGCGCTGGAGGCCAAGACCGGGGTGGAGAAGCGGTACCTGGCTGCAGGTGAGCCGTCGGCGATCGCCCGTTTCGCTGACGGGCACACCGAGGCCATGGGCCCGGGGGTCGCGGATCTGACTCCCTCCCCGGCTGCGGGGTCCGGTCCGGCCGGTGGAGCGCGCGGGGTGACCGGGACCTCGGGGTCCGCCCGCACCCCGCTTTCCAGCCTCCGTCCCGGGCCGCCCCCTGCCGCCTGTTTCCCGGCGCTGGGTGCCCGCCACGCCGAAGTCCGGTTCTTCCAGTTGCCCGGCGGCCCCGGAGGGGTGGGGGTGGGGATGCCCGTGCCCTGCCCCCGTGGACCCCGGCCTGGCTGCAACAGTAGAGATCTTTGCATTTTTCCGTCCTGGGGGGGGTACCGGCGGGCTGCCCAGGACTCTCCTCCCGGCCGGCCTAGCTCTCCTTTCCCCGGCCCTGTGGCTTAGTGCCGCTGTGGGTAAATATTTGTTAAGACAGAGTTGGGTTGTATGACAGCTGGGATGGGGGGAGGCTGGACTGGCGCCCACGGAGCTCGAGATCCCGGCACCCCGATTGTGACTCCATTCCAGTTCTCCTGGTCCTTTCCGCCTTAGTGACACTGTGCGGCCCTGCCCCCTTCCAAAACTCTGTCTAGAAAGAGCATATAGTGATCGCTCCTTAAATGCCTCCCTCTCCACCCTTAAAAGTTTTTTTTTTGGAGAGGGAATCTTGCTCTGTTGCCCAGGCTGGAGTGCAACGGCGAGATCTCGGCTCACTGCCACCGCTACCTCCCGCGTTCAAGCAGTTCTCCTGCCTCAGCCTCCCGAGTAGCTGGGATTACAGGCATGTGACTACGCCCAGCTAAGTTTTGTACTTTTAGTAGAAATGGGGTTTCACCATGTTGGCCAGGCTGGTCTCGAACTCCTGACCTCAGGTGATCCACCCACCTGGACCTCCCAAAGTGCTGGGATTACAGGCGTGAGCCGCCACGCCCAGCCTAAAACTTTTTTTAATTAACTTTTTTGAAGAGACAGGGTCTCACTATGTTACCCAGGCTGGTGTCAAACTGGGCTCAAGCCATCCTCCTGCCTCAGCCTCCCAAAGCTCTGGAAGTACAGGAGGAAGCCACTGTACCCAGCCTTTCTTCCTTTTGTGTGGTGCTCCCAGCCCCACTGGCCCTGGCTTCTTTTCCAGGAAGCCTGGCAGAATGACTCACAAGGATTTTCTCTAGCCTGGGGTGCAGTGGGTCGAGGGCAGTGCCACTTCCTTGAGCACCTTCTGCAGGCAGATCCCAGGACTCCAGCTTCCCCCATATTCCCACCATCTGGGAGTTCCCATGCCTGGCAGCCCCAGGACAGTCTGAAATCTGTTCCCAGACCCTGGAGGTCTCCAGGTGCCTGGTCCCACGTGCACAGCACAGCAGGTGGCATGACCCCCTGTGCCTGCCCTGGGGAGCAGGCCCCTGACCTCTGCCCTCCCTTTCCACATCCCTGGGGCCAGTGGGCGGGAATTGAGGTCATAGAGCGCCCAGGAGGCAGGCAGCAGGGATGGGCTGGCTGGGGCACTGTGTTGCCAGGGAAGAGGCTAAGGTACAGGGAGGCAGGGGCTGCCTATGTGCCTGCTCTGTCTGAAGCATACAACCCCCCACCCCACCCACCCCAGTCCCATCTGCTGCTAATCTTGGGGGCTGTGCCCCCCTCCACAGTTCCGATGTTCAAGGTCATCCTCCCAGTGCTGAACCTGCAGAAAAAGGGATTTAGGGGAGGGACGCCCTGGGAGAGCCACTCCTCCCCCACCAGGGAGGCCCGGGGAAAGGTGGCGTTCCCTTATCCGCACCCCTCCCCGCATCCCCCCCCCCCCGCAACCCCACCCCTCCTTTAAATCAACACGTCCCACGCCCCTGGGTAACATGAAGAAACTCAGAGGAGACAGTGGCCCGGAGGCCGCATAGCCTGCTGGGACCAGCTGGGGGACCCCTCCTACCCCTGACCTTGGGTACTTGTTGATAAAGACTGATGCTGGTGGAGGGGAGGGCTGGGCTGCGGAACTTGGGCCTCTATCTCCCTGTGCAGATAGCAGCCCCAGGGGAGGAGAGCGGAGGCTGTCCAAGCCTTCTGGGCCCAGAGGTTCCCTGTGTGACCTTGGGCAACACCCACCCAGCCCAGTTCTGGCTGTTGAATGAGACAATTCAGGGAAAGCACAGAACCCGGCACACAGTAGGCGCTTAATAAATGCAGCTGTCATAGTCATTCTTTTCAGAGCCAGGTTCAGGATTGGGGCAGAGCTGGACACATCTACACACACACACACACACTTCTCTCTGAACACCCTCCTTGCTGGAACTGTGTTACAGTTGCCTGAAGGCGCTTAATAAATGTACAGGAGGGCCAGGTGTGCTGGCTCACACCTGTAATCCCAGCACTTTGGGACACAGAGGTGGGCGGATCACATGAGGCCAGGAGTTTGAGACCAGCCTGGTCAACACGGTGAAACCCCATCTCTACTAAAAATACAAAAGTCAGCCTGGCATGGTGGCACACACCTGTCATCCCAGCTACTTGGGAGGCTGAGGCACGAGAACGCTTGAGCCCAGGAGGCGGAGGTTGCAGTGAGCCGGGATCGTGCCATTGCACTCCAGGCTGGGCAACAGAGCAAGACTCCGTCTCAAAAAAATAAAAATAAATGTGCAGAGGCCGGGTGCGGTGGCTCACGCCTGTAATCCCAGCACTTTGGGAGGCCGAGGCGGGTGGATCACGAGGTCAAGAGATCGAGACCATCCTGGTCAACACAGTGAAACCCTGTCTCTACTAAAAATACAAAACTTTAGCTGGGCATGGCGGTGCGTGCCTGTAATCCCAGGTACTCGGGAGGCTGAGGCAGGAGAATTGCCTGAACCCAGGAGGCGGAGGTTGCGGTGAGCCGAGATCGCGCCATTGCCCTCCAGCCTGGGCAACAAGAGCGAAACTCCGTCTCAAAAAAAATAAAATAAAATAAATGTGCAGAAGGGCGTTCTCTTTGTTCACTTGTAACCATAAGAGGCAGGGGCCGTCACTACTCCCACTTACGGAGGGGGAAACTGAGGCTCCATGCAGCCAGAGCCTTGCTCGGTGCCTGCTGGTGAGTGCATAGCTGACCAGAGGGCTCTCCTCCTCCCGGGGCACTGAGATGCTGAGGTTTGCTGCGCCCATCACAGGGGTTCTCAAGGGAGACAGTGCCGCCCCCTGTCCCGGGGACACTGGCTGATGTCTGGGGATGTCTGTGGTTGTCAGGACCGGGGAGCTGATGGCATAGAGCAGTTAGAGGCCAGGGACACTGCTCAGCACCCCGCAGTGCCCGGATGGCCTCCTCCCCCTCCCCGAGGAAAACAACCAAGAATGACCCAGCCCTAACCTCGGCAGTGCTGAGGCAGAGAAACCCTATGCTGGGATAGCAGATAAAACGGTTGCCTTTCTCAGCTCTGGAATCAGGTCTTCGCGACAGCCCCGCCTCCCTTTCAGGTTTCTGCCTTCCCTTATATTGAAACATCAACCTTCTTTCCCAGGGCCGCCCATAGGGCCTGGAATGAGATGGGTATCGTCGCAGACTACATTGTTTTTGTTTGTTTGAGACGGAGTCTGGCTCTGTCACCCAGGCTGGAGTGCCGTGGGGCAACCTCCACTCACTGCAACGTCCACCTCCTGCGTTCAAGTGATTCTCCTGCCTCAGCCTCCCAAGTAGCTGGGATTACAGGCGCACGCCACCACGCCGAGCTAATTTTTGTATTTTTAGTAGAGATGGGGTTTCACCATGTTGGTCAGGCTGGTCTCGAACCCCTGACTTCAGGTAATCCACCCGCCTCAGCCTTCCAAAGTGCTGGGATTACGTCCATGAGCCACCACACCCGGCCAGATTACACTCATTCACTCAACAAACGCTTATTGGGGAGCTATTCTGCACCCAACCACTGCCCAGCGTCGGGCTCCTGTCTGCCCTTGGGAGCTCCAAACCCTGGGAGAGGGGGGACATGGACCAGTTACAGGTGAAGGGCTCGGGGCTTAGGGGCACGATGGGGGATGCACAGGCACTTTGTGGGCAGTGGTGACACCCTAGAGGCATCACGGAGGCTTCTGGGAGGAGGTGACGGTTGCAGGCTCCCAAGAGGAAGCCTGGTGCCATCACGGGGGTCAGAGGGTCCCTGGCCCTGACCCACCACCACCTCTCTCTGGCAGGAGCCGTCACTCTGCTAAGCCTGTATCTGCTGTTCGGCTACGGAGCGTCTCTGCTGTGCAATCTCATCGGATTTGTATACCCCGCATATGCTTCGTGAGTGCACAGCTGGCTGCGCGCGTGGCGGGGCTGGGGGTTCCCGGGCAGCCCCTGACCCGGCCGCGCCTCCCTGCAGAATCAAAGCTATAGAGAGCCCAAGCAAGGACGACGACACTGTGTGGCTCACCTACTGGGTGGTGTACGCTCTGTTCAGCCTGGCCGAGTTCTTCAGCGACATACTCCTGTCCTGGTTCCCTTTCTACTACGTGGGCAAGGTGGGCCCTGCCAGGGTGGGCACAGCCGTGGAGCACGTGGGGCTCGGGGATTCCTGGGAGGTGTTGGGGCCAGAAGGTCCAGAGATGAGATGGGGGATGTGAGGGGAAGATTCAGTCCCTTCCTGGGGAAACAGGCCCCATCCAGGGGCTGATGGTGGAGGGCCCACCCTAAAGGGTGTCTGATGGTGGAGGCTCATCCTAAAGGGTGTCTGATGGTGGAGGGCTCACCCTAAAAGGTGTCTGATGGTGGGGACCCAGGCCTGTCCCAATAGGATGTCTGATGGTGGAGGCTCACCCTAAAGGATGCCTGATGGTGGAGGCTCACCCTAAAGGGTGTCTGATGGTGGAGGCTCACCCTAAAGGGTGTCTGATGGTGGAGGCTCACCCTAAAGGGTGTCTGATGGTGGAGACCCCGTTCCTGCCCAGGGTGGGCATCTGGTGGCGTGGTGTGGCCAGTCTCCCTCCCAGGGGCATGGAGCTGGGTGGGGCCGCGTGTGACTCCTGCCCCGCCCTGCAGTGCGCCTTCCTGTTGTTCTGCATGGCTCCCAGGCCCTGGAACGGGGCTCTCATGCTGTACCACCGCGTCGTGCGCCCGCTGTTTCTAAAGCACCACGGGGCCGTGGACAGAATCATGAGCAACCTCAGCAGGCAAGCCCTGGACACGGCGGCCGGAATAACCAGGAACGGTGGGTGCGCGCAGGCGCCCGGCCTCCTCTGGCTGTGTCCGGGGTCTCGACCTGTCTGTCCCCACCTTGCCTCCCTTCCTGACTTTGACTGCCCTCTGTCTGGCATCTCGGCCGCCCCTCTCACTGTCCGCCTCTCTCTCTCACGCTTTCGGGAACCAGTCTTGCAGGCCCTGGCCCGCAGCCGGGCAAGCGTCACCCCAGCGGCTGTGGCAGGGCCCTCCGCTCCCCTGGATGCTGACCGTACGTAACCCCTTTGGGGAGGTGAGAGCTGTGTGAGTGTCAGTTTGCTGCATACATATGTGTTATTGTGTGCATATGTGTGCATATGCAGGCATGTTTTTGGTGTGTGCATGTGTGTACGTGTGCATGAGTGTGCATGTGTGGGCATGTGTTTGGTGTGTGCATGTGTGTACATGTGTGTATGTGTGCATGTGTGTACCCGTGTATGAGTATGTGTGCATGTGTGGGCATGTGTTTGGTGTGTGCATGTGTGTACATGTGCGTATGTGTGCATGTGTGTACCCGTGCATGAGTATGTGTGCACGTGTGGGCATGTTTGGTGTGTGCATGTGTGTACATGTGCGTGAGTGTGCGTGTGTGCGTGTGTGCATGTGTGTGCATGTGTTTGGTGTATGTGTGTACATGTGCATGTATGTGTGGGCATGTGGCATGTGCATGTGTGTACATGTGCGTGAGTCTGTACGCGTGCATGTGGGTATGTGTCTGGTGTTTGCATGTGTGTACATGTGCATGTGTGCATGTGTGGGCATGTGTTTGGTGTGTGCATGTATGTACGTGTGCATGAGTGTATATGTGTGTGTGCATGGGCTGAAACTGGTGTTTCTGTGTGTGCATGAGTGAGCAAGGGAGTGAGCATGTGTTTTCTCCCGTGTGCATGTCTGAGTGCACATTGCGTGTGAGTGCACATTGCGTGAGTGCACATATGTGTGTGTGTGTGCACCTATCCATGCATGGGTTGGCATGACAGCGTGTGTGTGGTCCACATCTTCTCTGCTGAGGGTGGCTGTCAGGCCCCTCGACTCACCCCATGCTCACGGCCAGCAGCCCCGCAGAGCCCAGGCCTGCCTCACCCCCACCCGCCCCTCTCTCTGCAGTGAAGCCAAGCCAGACCCCGCCGCCGAAGGACAAGTGAAGCAGCCCCTTGGCCCTTGCAAGGACCTCCTGGCTGGTGAGAAGGGGGCCGCGCCAGGCTCCCAGCCCTCCACAGAGTCTTCTGCGGATTCCCAGCCAGCGGCCCCCGCCAGTGCCTCGGGTCCAGGCAGGGCCCAGAGGGTCTCCTTAAATGCCACCTCAGAAAAGCCCCAGCCCCAGATCTCGACCACGAGTTCTGGATCCCAGGACAAGCTTCCCTCCGGCTCTGCTGCTGGCTCCTGCCCATCCCGCAAGGCCCAGGGCCAGCGTCGGGCACAGGGCAACTCCCGCCGACCTCAGCCGCGCACCCAGCCGCCCAGGACTTCCCCGTCCCAGCTAGCCGTCCAGTCCCCCGGGCCCCTACAGCAACCCAACGTCACCTCCAGCCCGGCCTCACCCGGGGACCAGCCTCCCAGCAGCACCAACAGCCCCATGCAGCCCCCCAGCAAGCCCCCTAGCGAGCCAGAGGACGCAGCCCCCAAGACCACCGGACAGACCCAGAAGCAATCCTTGAAAGAGCCTGCCAGCGGCGCCTCCGTGCGCGAGGTGGTCCCCTGCCACTCCGAGAGCTCTCTGGAATACACTTCCGAGTCCGCCACGGAGATCACCTGCAGCTGGCCACACAGGCTGCGGTGCCTGCAGCACTACTGGCGCCTGAAACACCTGGCCTGCTAGGAGGGCCTCAATAAAGCTCATCCGGACCACACCTGTGCGCCACGTGTGCTGGGGTCTCGGGGAGCGTCTGCGAGGGCACCGTGCCGTTTAATCAGGCATGAGTCTCAGCTGTGTGGACCAGCTCATTTAATAGATGAGGAGACTGGGGCTCAGAGAGGCTAATTGACCCACTAAAGGTCCAGCCACATGGCCAAGATGGGCACAAGTCCCGGAAACACTTGTCCTTCCCCACAGCGCCTTCTCCCTTCCCTCCCAAAGTAGTTGTCCTGCCCATTTGCATTCACCTGCTTCTCTTAAAACTCTCCCTGGCCAGGTGCGGTGACTCACGCCTGTATCCCAGCAATTTGGGAGGCCGAGGCGGGGTGGGGGAACAGGGGGGTTCACTTGAGCTCAGGAGTTCGAGACCAGCCTAGGCAACATTGTGAAACCCCCATCTCTATTGAAAATACAAAAATGGCCGGGTGTGGTGGCTCAAGCCTGTAATCCCAGCACTTTGGGAGGCCGAGGCAGGTGGATCACCTGAGGTCGGGAGTTCAAGACTAGCCTGGTCAACATGGAGAAACCCCGTCTCTATTAAAAATACAAAAAAATTAGCCGGGTGTGGTGGCGCATGCCTGTCATCCCAGCTCCCTGGGAGGCTGAGGCAGGAGAATCACTTGAACCCAGGAGGCAGAGGTTGTGGTGAGCCAAGATTGCGCCACTGGGCTCCATCCTGGGCAACAAGAGCAAAACTTAGTCTCAAAATAAAAGAAAAAAAGACCAGGCATGGTGGCTCACGTCTGTAATCCCAGCACTTTGGGAGGCCGAGGCGGGTGGATCATGAGGTCAGGAGATTAGGACCATCCTGGCCAATGTAATGGAACCCCACCTCTACTAAAAATACAAAAATTAGCTGGGTGTGGTGACGTGCGCCTGTAGTCCCAGCTACTCAGGAGGCTGAGGCGGGAGAATCGCTTGAGCCCGAGAGGCGGAGGTTGCAGTGAGCTGACATGGCGCCACTGCACTCCAGCCTGGTGACAGAGCAAGACTTGATATTATGTTTGCCTAAGAGGCCATAACTCGGTGTTTTGCAGCCGGGAGCAGTTTTGTCCCTGGGGCTTTGGGTCTTGTCCGGAGACACTTCTTTGGGGGACAGTGGACACAGGATGTGGCTTTGTTGCCGAGACTGCGGTGCAGTGGCGCAATCACGGCTCCATGCAGCCTCAACGTTCTGGGATTAAGACATCCTCCTCCCTTGGCCTCCTGTGTAGCTGGCACCACCCTGCCTGGCCATGATCGTGCCACTGCACCCCAGCCTAGGCAACGGAGGGACACCCTGTCTCCAAAAGGAAAAAGGAATGGTCAGCCAGGCGCAGTGGCTCACACCTGTAATCCCCAGCACGTTGGGAGGCCGAATCGGGTGGATGACCTGAGGTCAGGAGTTTGAGACCAGCCTGACCAACATGGTGAAACACTGTTTCTACTATAAACTACAGTAATTAGCCAGGAATGGTGGCACATGCCTGTCGTCCCAGCTACTTGGGAGACTGAGGCAAGAGATTCACTTGAGCCTGGGAGGCAGAGGTTGCAGCGAGCGGAGATTGCACCTTGCACTCCAGCCTGGGTGACAGAGTGAGACTCCATCTGAAAAGAAAAAAAAAAAAAAGGGTGTTACAGGCAGAGGGCACAGCCTGTGCCAAGGCCCTGAGGCAGGACCGTGCTAGTGAGCGGGCGGAACAGGGAGGAGGCCCCTGTGGCTGGAGCAGAGAAGAGGAGGGCAGGGAGGAGGGCAGTCTTCCGGGCTGCACCACACAGGCGCTGAGAGGGCTTGGGCGGGACTTGGCCTTTTTATTTCTTTTTTGAGACAGAGTTTTGCTGTTGTTGCCCAGGCTGGAGTGCAGAGGCACGATCTCAGCTCACTGCAACCTCTGTCTTGTGGGTTCAAGAGATTCTCCTGCCTCAGTCTCCCAAGTAGCTGGGATGACAGGCATGTGCCACCATGCCCGGCTAATTTTGCATTTTTGGTAGAGATGGGGTTTCTCCATGTTGGTCAGGCTGGTCTCAAACTCCCGACCTCAGATGACCCGCCCACCTTTGCCTTCCAAAGTGTTGGGATTGCAGGCGTGAGCCACCACGCCCGAGACTTTGTCTTTTGCTCGGGGTGCAGGATGTATCAGAGGGAAGGGCAAGGGTAATCATTAATCAACCCGCACCCTGCATCCGGGACCACACGGGGATGGTAGGCAGGGCTCTGAGAATCTTCGGATCACGGCCCAGCTGGTGTGAAGAATGTGGTCTGGCCATGGCCCCGGGGGAGGACATAGGGTGCCAGGCTTGCTCTGCACCTGGCACGGTCCCTCACCTTCACCAGCAGGGGAGCAGCAAAACTGACTCCAGCCAGCCCAGGTCAGCATTCAGGGAGCACAGGTGGGGAGGAGGACGCGCCTGTCTCACCAGGTGGAAATAGTGACCTTCAGCCCCTCATACTGTTTTATTTTTTTATTTATTTTTTTGAGGCCACATCTCTCTCTGTTGCCCCGGCTGGAGTGCAGTGGCGCAATCCCAGCTCACTGCAACTTCTGCCTCCTGGGTTCAAGCGATTTTCCTGCCTCAGCCTCCCGAGTAGCTGGGAGTACAGGCACCTGCCACCATGCCCAGGTAATTGTGGTAGTTTTAGTAGAGATGGGTTTTCACCATCTTGGCCAGGCTGGTCTCGATCTCTTGACCTAGTGATCCACCTGCCCCAGCCTCCCAAAGTGCTGGGATCACAGGCGTGAGTTACTGCACCCAGCCTATTTTGTATTTTAATTTATGTTTGAGATGGAGCCTCGATCTGTCACCCAGGCTGGAGTGCAGTGGTGTGATCTCAGCTCACCACAACCTCTGCCTCCCGGGTTCAAGAGATTCTCCTGCCTCAGCCTCCCCAGAAGCTGGGAATACAGGCGCCACCATGCCCGGCTAATTTTTGTATTTTTAGTAGAGACGGGGTTTCTCCATGTTGGCCAGGCTGGTCTCAAACTCCTGACCTCAGGTCATCCATCCACCTTGGCCTCCCAAAGTGCTGGGATGACAGCTGTGAGCCACCGTGCCTGGCCTGGCCCTCTATATCTCTTGTAAGGATACTTGTCATTGGATTTCAGATCCGACCTAATTCCCAGATGATTTCATGTCAAGCTCCTTAATTTTTTTTTTTTTTTTTTTTTTTTGAGACGGAGTTTCGCTCTTGTTACCCAGGCTGGAGTGCAATGGCGCGATCTCGGCTCACCACAACCTCCGCCTCCTGGGTTCAGGCAATTCTCCTGTCTCAGCCTCCTGAGTAGCTGGGATTACAGGCACGCACCACCATGCCCAGCTAATTTTTGTATTTTTAGTAGAGACAGGGTTTCACCATGTTGACCAGGATGGTCTCGATCTCTTGACCTTGTGATCCACCCGCCTCGGCCTCCCAAAGTGCTGGGATTACAGGCGTGAGCCACCGCGCCCGGCCTCAAGCTCCTTAATTACAGGCTTTTACCAAGTGAGGTCACAGAAGGAGTTTCTGGGGGGTTAGGACTTGGACACCCCTAGATAGGGGTGTCTAACCCACTATAGTGATCATACATCCAGCTGTGGCAGACGGGGCCACACTGCTTTCCAAAGTGGTTTCACGGGCCGGGGGCAGTAGCTCACACCTGTAATCCCAGCATTTTGGAAGGCCGAGGTGGATGGATCACCTGAGGTCGGGAGTTCAAGGCCAGCATGGCCAACATGGTGAAACCCCATCTCTATCAAAAATACAAAAAAAAAAAAACAAAAGAAAAAAAAAAATTAGCCAGGTGTGGTGGTGGGTGTCTGCAGTCCTAGGCACTCGGGAAGCTGAGGCAGGAGAATCGTTTGAACCTGGTAGGTGGTGGTTGCAATGAGCCAAGATGGAGCCACTGCACTACAGCCTGGGCAACAAGAGCGAAACTCCATCTAAAATAAAAACAAAAAACACCCTCCGCGGTGGCTCCCACCTGTCATCCCAGCGCTGTGGGAGGCCGAGGCGGGCGGATCACCTGAGGTCGGGAGTTCAAGACCAGCCTGACCAACATAGTGAAACCCCGTCTCTACTAAAAATATAAATAGTTGGGTGTGGTGGTGTGCACCTGTAACCCCAGCTACTCGGGAGGCTGAGGCAGGACCATCGCGTGAACCTGGGAGGCGGAGGTTGCAGTGAGCTGAGATCGCGCCACTGCACCCCAGCCGGGGCAACAGAGCGAGACTCCGGGCTCCTGGGCTGCCAGCCATGCAGGGCGCGCAGAGTCCCGTCATCCCGCGTCCAGCCGCCAGGGGGCACCGCGGCCCCACGCATCCCTGCAGCACCCACAGTCCCCGCCCGGGAGCTCCTGGGACCTGCACCAGCAGCGCTTGCTTCTGTGATGTCAATCACAGAGGGCACCACGTCACTGAAGCCACTGGCCGCTCCCGGGCGCCAGGCCTGGGCCGTCCCAGGTCCCACTGGGGTCCCTGGTATGCAGTCGGTGCTCAATAAGCACTTGCAGAAATGTGTGAAGGAAAAAAGGGTGCTAGGGAAGGACTCTGGGAAAGCCTAACTCCCATGTCAGAGCTGGCAGGGGCTTAGAGGGAGTCACTCACAGATGGGGAAACTGAGGCCGGAAGGGACTGTGCCTGGCCTGCAGTCACCAAGGTCAGGGGCTGAGTTGGCCGATGTTGTACACCCGTGGCTGACTCCCTCCACCTTGGCCTTCAGCCTCTCCGCCTGCTCCCTGCCTGGTGGGTGCAGCTTAACTGTGCCTTGTGGTCAGCAGGGACCCACGGACCCCAGACACCGCAGGCCCCAGAGAGAAATGCAACCGTGGTCCCACACACAGCGGGCTGTCCCAGGTGGCAGCATGAGCTGTGCGTCCAGGGTGGGAGCCACAGGGTTGGCACCCCACAGGGGAGAGTTTGCTGAACGACCTTGTGACACCCCCTGGCGCACGCACAGCCCCCGCCAGCCCTCCTGGCTGCAGAAGAACATAGCGGGCTGGCAGCCAGCAGACAGCAGCGGCTCTGACCTGCCTCCTCAGCGGGGAGGGGTTCCCGGGTGGGCCTGAGAAAATATGC